CCCCCCCCCCTCACAGTAGGGGAACCTGTGGTGGTAGGTATGAGGATCATCGCATTGCAGATAAATGCCACGGCTCGACCTTACTTGAGTCTGAATTATTAATGAACTCCAGTCGGAACTCAAGGCGGAACTCAAGGCGGAACTCTAATCTGATGTCACTCGAGACTGAACTCGACTCTGTACTAAGTTACCTGTTGCTGCTGTTTGCTAACCGCAAGTTTCATCGTCTTGTGGTAATCGAGGCCGCCTTAATTAATGATGACCCAATGTCAATGCTCGTCCTAGCTTCACTCAAGTCTGGACTCAAGTCTGGACTCACTCAAGTCTGAAATCACTCAACGCAGTCAAGTCCGAACGCGCTCAAGTCTGAACTAAAAAAGCCTGATGAAGTCTGTGGACTGTTCGCTGAGTAATTTGTTAGTGTGCTGTTTGGCAACAGCAAGTTTCATTGTCTTGTGACAATGATGGGGTAATCAAGTCAGAACGAAGGTACCTATGAATTCTGTTTGCTGACGGTCAGTCAGATTTCCTGGTGGTGATGATGGCTTACTTGATGATGCACCAATGTAAGTGCTAGTCCTACCTCAAGTCTGCACTCGCTCAACTCTGCACTCGCTCAAGTCTGGGGTACTAAAGTCAGCACTGCTCAAGTCTGGAGTACTCAAGTGTGGAGTACTCAAGTGTGGAGAGTACTCAACTCAAGTGTGGAGTACTCAAGTGTGGAGTACTCAAGTCAGCACTGCTCAAGTCTGCACTGAGTTACTGGTACTGATGTTTGGCAACGGGTTAAAATGTCTTGCGGTGACGGCATGTTAATCAAAGATGAATGATTGTTCGTTGACTCTGTTTGTACAGCTGATGGAGCCATTGGAGGTCTGTTATCGGTCGCTTCACGAGACCGGTGATCACACGATTGCCGATGGAAGCTTGTTGGACTTCATGCGGCAAGTCACTTGCTTTGGTCTGACATTAGTAAGGCTGGACATCCGCCAAGAGGCGGACCGCCACACGGAAGCGCTCGATGCGATCACGACTTATCTGGGCTTTGGGTCGTACAGGGAGTGGTCGGAAGATCAACGGCAAGAGTTCCTCGTCCGGGAGCTGCGGGGAAAGCGGCCGCTGTTCGGACCGGATCTTGTTCACAACACGGAAGTGAAGGAGGTTCTGGACACATGCCGAGTTCTTGCGGAATTGCCGGCAGACTCGTTCGGTGGGTACGTGATCTCGATGTCGACTGTGCCGTCTGACGTGCTCGCGGTTCATCTGCTTATGCGAGAATGCGGGGTGAAGATGCCGTTGCGCGTCGTGCCCTTGTACGAACGGCTGCAAGACCTGAACAATGCGCCAGCGAACATGGAGAGGTTGTTTTCCATCGATTGGTACCGGAACCTTATCAACGGCAAGCAGGAAGTGATGATCGGATATTCGGACTCGGGCAAAGACGCAGGCAGGTTGTCGGCTGCCTGGGCACTCTTCCAAGCACAAGCGAACATCGTCAAAGTCGCGGAGAAGTTTGGGGTGAAGGTTACCCTCTTCCATGGCCGAGGAGGAACGATTGGCCGTGGCGGAGGGCCAACGCATCTTGCCATCCTGTCGCAGCCGCCGGGGACGGTGAACGGGTCGTTGAGGGTGACGATTCAGGGAGAAATCATAGAGCATTCGTTTGGAGAGGAGCAGCTGTCTTTCCGAACCCTTGAGCGTTTCACCTCTGCTACCCTGGAGGTCAGTCTGCATACGCCCACTCCGCCAAAGCCTGAATGGCAAAAGTTGATGGAGGAGATGTCCGCAGTCGCCACAGAAGATTTCCGAGGTGTCCTCCGTGACAAGAGGTTCCTTCCCTATTTCCAAGCGGTGAGTTCTCCCAACAATCTCTCTCTCTCTCTCTCTCTCTCTCTCTCTCTCTCTCTCTCTCTCTCTCTCTCTCTCTCTCTCTCTCTCTCTCTCTCTCTCTCT